TGTCTTCTAGTGTCACTAAAATGTTACCTGTCTTCTAGTGTCACTAAAATGTTACATTGTTTTCTAGTGTCACTAAAATGTTACCTGTCTTCTAGTGTCACTAAAATGTTAACCGTCTTCTGGTTTCACTAAAATGTTACCCCGTCTTCTGGTTTCATTAAAATGTTACCATGTCTTCTGGTTTCACTAAAATGTTACCCTGTCTTCTAGTGTCACTAAAATGTTACCTGTCTTCTAGTGTCACTAAAATGTTACATTGTCTTCGGGTGTCACTAAAATGTTACCTGTCTTCTAGCTTCACTAAAATGTACCTGTCTTCTAGTGTCACTAAAATGTTGCCTGTCTTCTAGTGTCTCTAAAATGTTAGCCTGTCTTCTGGTGTCACTAAAATGTTACCTGTCTTCTAGCTTCACTAAAATGTTGCTTGTCTTCTAGTGTCACTCAAATGTTACCTGTCTTCTAGCTTCACTAAAATGTACCTGTCTTCTAGTGTCACTAAAATGTTGCCTGTCTTCTAGTGTCACTAAAATGTTACCCTGTCTTCTAGTGTCACTCAAATGTTACCCCGTCTTCTGGTGTCACTAAAATGTTACCTATCTTCTAGTGTCACTAAAATGTTACCTGTCTTCTAGTGTCACTAAAATGTTACCCGTCTTCTGGTTTCACTAAAATGTTACCTGGTCTTCTAGTGTCACTAAAATGTTACCCGGTCTTCTAGTGTCACTAAAATGTTACCCTGTCTTCTAGTGTCATTAAAATGTTTCCCTGTCTTCTAGTGTCATTAAAATGTTTGTAACTGAAGCTCCCACACTACATCACAGGGCTTAATAGAACTGTCCTTGATTTATGTTATTGAGAAGTAAATAAAACGAAATGTGGAGATGTTAAAAACAGAGACACCTGACGGCCTCCTCTGCCAGGTAATACTTATACTTATATTGCCACCACTGGTTTTCACGTTTTCCTGAATGCCCCCATTTTGTGAAAGTGATGTGCCCCTTAACTCCCATAATAACAAAACATTGGGAATCATTTACCAGTGGGAACTTAATAGGTCTCCCTCTTTATCTTCTGGCAGGGAAACTATTGAGATCTATTTAATTGTTATTGTAGCCATTCCATGGACAAACTCTGACGTATGTGTGATCACTGTTCCTAGTACACCAAAATACTGCCGTAACCATGGCGTCTATAAAATCAACACTGAGGTAAGACATTATGTAATACGTGTTGGTCAGGAGGTACCGTGATTAATGCATTGGTCGGGTGATACAGCTGGTCTTATACAATGGTCAGGTGATACAGCTGGTCTTATACAATGGTCAGGTGATACAGCTGTCTTATACAATGGTCGGGTGATACAGCTGGTCTGATACAATGGTCGGGTGATACAGCTGGTCTTATACAATGGTCAGGTGATACAGCTGGTCTTTTACAATGGTCGGGTGATACAGCTGTCTTATACAATGGTCGGGTGATACAGCTGGTCTTATACGATGGTCGGGTGATACAGCTGGTCTTATACAATGGTCGTGTGATACAGCTGGTCTTATACGATGGTCAGGTGATACAGCTGGTCTTATACAATGGTCAGGTGATACAGCTGGTCTTATACAATTGTTGGGTGATACAGCTGTCTTATACAATGGTTGGGGGATACAGCTGGTCTTATACAATGGTTGGGGGATACAGCTGTCTTATACAATGGTTGGGGGATACAGCTGTCTTATACAATGGTTGGGTGATACAGCTGGTCTTATACAATGGTTGGGGGATACAGCTGTCTTATACAATGGTTGGGTGATACAGCTGGTCTTATACAATGGTTGGGGGATACAGCTGTCTTATACAATGGTTGGGTGATACAGCTGGTCTTATACAATGGTTGGGGGATACAGCTGTCTTATACAATGGTTGGGTGATACAGCTGGTCTTATACAATGGTTGGGGGATACAGCTGTCTTATACAATGGTTGGGTGATACAGCTGGTCTTATACAATGGTTGGGGGATACAGCATGTCTTATACAATGGTTGGGTGATACAGCTTGTCTTATACAATGGTTGGGGGATACAGCTGTCTTATACAATGGTTGGGTGATACAGCTGGTCTTATACAATGGTTGGGGGATACAGCTGTCTTATACAATGGTTGGGTGATACAGCTGGTCTTATACAATGGTTGGGGGATACAGCTGTCTTATACAATGGTTGGGTGATACAGCTGGTCTTATACAATGGTTGGGGGATACAGCTGTCTTATACAATGGTTGGGTGATACAGCTGGTCTTATACAATGGTTGGGGGATACAGCATGTCTTATACAATGGTTGGGTGATACAGCTTGTCTTATACAATGGTTGGGGGATACAGCTGTCTTATACAATGGTTGGGTGATACAGCTGGTCTTATACAATGGTTGGGGGATACACCTGTCTTATACAATGGTTGGGTGATACAGCTGGTCTTATACAATGGTTGGGGGATACAGCTGTCTTATACAATGGTTGGGTGATACAGCTGGTCTTATACAATGGTTGGGGGATACAGCTGTCTTATACAATGGTTGGGTGATACAGCTGGTCTTATACAATGGTTGGGGGATACAGCTGTCTTATACAATGGTTGGGTGATACAGCTGGTCTTATACAATGGTTGGGGGATACAGCATGTCTTATACAATGGTTGGGTGATACAGCTGGTCTTATACAATGGTTGGGGGATACAGCATGTCTTATACAATGGTTGGGTGATACAGCTGGTCTTATACAATGGTTGGGGGATACAGCATGTCTTATACAATGGTTGGGTGATACAGCTTGTCTTATACAATGGTTGGGGGATACAGCTGTCTTATACAATGGTTGGGTGATACAGCTGGTCTTATACAATGGTTGGGGGATACAGCTGTCTTATACAATGGTTGGGTGATACAGCTGGTCTTATACAATGGTTGGGGGATACAGCATGTCTTATACAATGGTTGGGTGATACAGCTTGTCTTATACAATGGTTGGGGGATACAGCTGTCTTATACAATGGTTGGGTGATACAGCTGGTCTTATACAATGGTTAGGTGATACAGCTGTCTTATACAATGGTCGGGTGATACAGCTGTCTTATACAATGGTCGGGTGATACAGCTGGTCTTATACAATGGTTGGGTGATACAGCTGTCTTATACAATGGTCGGGTGATACAGCTGTCTTATACAATTGTTAGGTGAAACAGCTGTCTTATATGATGGTCGGGTGATACAGCGGTCTTATACAATGGTTGGGGGATACAGATGTCTTATACAATGGTTGGGTGATACAGCTGGTCTTATACAATGGTTGGGGGATACAGCATGTCTTATACAATGGTTGGGTGATACAGCTGGTCTTATACAATGGTTGGGGGATACAGCATGTCTTATACAATGGTTGGGTGATACAGCTTGTCTTATACAATGGTTGGGGGATACAGCTGTCTTATACAATGGTTGGGTGATACAGCTGGTCTTATACAATGGTCGGGTGATACAGCTGTCTTATACAATGGTCGGGTGATACAGCTGTCTTATACAATGGTCAGGTGATAAAGCTGTCTTATACAATGGTCAGGTGATACAGCTGGTCTTATACAATTGTTGGGTGATACAGCTGGTCTTATACGATGGTCAGGTGATACAGCTGTCTTATACAATGGTCGGGTGATACAGCTGTCTTATACAATTGTTAGGTGAAACAGCTGTCTTATACGATGGTCGGGTGATACAGCTGTCTTATACAATGGTCGGGTGATACAGCTGTCTTATACAATTGTTAGGTGAAACAGCTGTCTTATACGATGGTCGGGTGATACAGCTGTCTTATACAATGGTCGGGTGATACAGCTGTCTTATACAATTGTTAGGTGAAACAGCTGTCTTATACGATGGTCGGGTGATACAGCTGTCTTATACAATGGTCGGGTGATACAGCTGTCTTATACAATTGTTAGGTGAAACAGCTGTCTTATACGATGGTCGGGTGATACAGCTGTCTTATACAATGGTCGGGTGATACAGCTGGTCTTATACAATGGTCAGGTGATACAGCTGTCTTATACAATGGTTGGGTGATACAGCATCTCTTATACAATGGTTGGGGGATACAGCTGTCTTATACAATGGTCGGGTTATACAGCTGTCTTAAACAATGGTTGGGTGATACAGCTGGTCTTATACAATGGTTGGGTGATACAGCTGTCTTATACAATGGTCGGGTTATACAGCTGGTCTTATACAATGGTCAGGTGATACAGCTGTCTTATACAATGGTTGGGTGATACAGCTGGTCTTATAGAATGGTTGGGTGATACAGCTGTCTGATACAATGATCGGGTGATACAGCTGGTCTTATACAATGGTCGGGTGATACAGCTGTCTTATACAATTGTTAGGTGAAACAGCTGTCTTATATGATGGTCGGGTGATACAGCTGTCTTATACAATGGTTGGGGGATACAGCTGGTCTTATACAATGGTAGGGTGATACAGCTGTCTAATACAATGATCGGGTGATACAGCTGGTCTTATACAATGGTCAGGTGATACAGCTGTCTTATACAATGGTCGGGTGATACAGCTGGTCTTATACAATGGTCGGGTGATACAGCTGTCTAATGCAATGATCAGGTGATACAGCTGTCTTATACGATGGTCGGGTGATACAGCTGGTCTTATACAATGGTCGGGTGATACAGCTGTCATAACAATGGTCGGGTGATACAGCTGGTCTTATATGATGGTCGGGTGATACAGCTGTCTTATACAATTGTTGGGTGATACAGCTGGTCTTATACGATGGTCGGGTGATACAGCTGTCTTATACAATGGTAGGGTGATACAGCTGGTCTTATACAATGGTTGGGTGATACAGCTGGTCTTATTCAATGGTCAGGTGATACAGCTGGTTTTATTCAATGGTCAGGTGATACAGCTGGTCTTATACAATGATCGGGGGATACAGCTGGTCTTATTCAATGGTCAGGTGATACAGCTGGTCTTATACAATGATCGGGGGATACAGCTGGTCTTATTCAATGGTCAGGTGATACAGCTGGGCTTATACAATGGTCGGGTGATACAGCTGGGCTTATACAATGGTCGGGTGATACAGCTGGTCTTATACAATGGTCGGGTGATACAGCTGGTCTTATACAATGGTTGGGTGATACTGCTGTCTTATACAATGGTAGGGTGATACAGCTGGTCTTATACAATGGTCGGGTGATACAGCTGGTCTTATACAATGATCGGGTGATACAGCTGGTCTTATTCAATGGTCAGGTGATACAGCTGGTTTTATTCTATGGTCAGGTGATACAGCTGGTCTTATACAATGGTCAGGTGATACAGCTGGTCTTATTCAATGGTCAGGTGATACAGCTGGTCTTATACAATGGTCGGGTGATACAGCTGTCTAATACAATGATCGGGTGATACAGCTGTCTTATACAATGGTTGGGGGATACAGCTGTCTTATACAATGATCGGGTGATACAGCCGTCTTATACAATGGTCGGGTGATACAGTTGCTATAACTTATACAATGGTCTGATGATGATATTACTATCACTTATACAGTAGTCTGATGATGATATTACTGTAACTTATACAATAGTCTGATGATTATATTACTGTAACATACAATGTTCTAATGATAATACTATGCATACCTGTTACAGGGATATGTGACAGATATACTGTACCAGAGGGATTTAGGAGGACTGGAGTGCTGTGAGAGGCCGGACGGAACTGTCCCTGTGGTAACTACACACTTTTATGGTTGGCTTATTATTGTGTTTATATGGAAGGGATATCTGCTTAGACATAACTGTAAAGCTAATGATATATCTACAATGCTAAAATTGAACTATGTGATGTTTATTTCTGATGTTTATAATACTTATCTTTGTAAATTTGTCAGGTGTGTTCTGTTATATACCTGAGTCATGCCGTGACGGAGGCCCTCCTGTCCTTTCATGTAAAGCCCCCTCTGGATGCTTGTACCTACATGGGAGTGGACAGTGGTCAACCCCCTATACAGGTATGTATTGGTCAACTCCCTATACAGTTGTGTATTGATCAATCCCCTATACAGGTGTGTATTGGTCAATCCTATAAACATGTGTGTATTGGTCAACTCCCTATTCAGCTGTGTAATGGACATTCCCCTATACAGGTGTGTATTGGTCATCCCCTATATATGTGTGTAATGGTCATCCCCCTTTAAAGGTTTGTAATGGTCATCCCCCTTTAAAGGTTTGTAATGGTCATCCCCCTTTAAAGGTTTGTATTGGTCAACCCCCTATGCAGGTGTGTATTGGTCATCCCCCTGTACAGGTGTGTATTGGTCAACCCCCTATACAGGTGTGTATTGGTCAACCCCCTATATAGGTGTGTATTGGTCAACCCCCTATGCAGATGTGTATTGATCATCCCCTATACATGTGTGTATTGGTCATCCCCTATACAGGTGTGTATTGGTCATCCCCTATACAGGTGTGTATTGATCATCCCCTATACATGTGTGTAGATCTAGTGATGAGCTCTTTATTCGTATTAGGTTTCACACCTGTTTTCTGACACGACAAGGTATTAAATGGTATTTAGGTATTTTACCTTTATTCGTATTATGTTTCACACCTGTTTTCTGACACGACAAGGTATTACTTGGTATTTAGGTATTTTACCTTTATTCGTATTAGGGTTCACACCTGTTTTCTGACACGACAAGGTATTAAATGGCATTTAGGTATTTTTACCTTTATTCGTATTATGTTTCACACCTGTATTCTGACACGACAAGGTACTACCTGGTGTTTAGGTATTTTACCTTTACATGTTTTTTGTTGTAGCTGTCACTCTTCTTTGATGTCATGTTACCAATGACGAGTGATGTGAATGAAAAAGAATTTGTATCTGGAGGTCGAAGTGGGGTCAAAGGTCAAGCCCATGTTCCAGGGTCAGAGGACATGATCAAGACCATGAGGTCAGCCAGACAAATCCTATGGCGGGAGCTACACAACTTCAAAATATGGGCATGTATGTCGTCTTCATATACTGAGAGTCAATCAATACATCAGCTTAGAAGAAAATCATCACAATAATGGGTTTGACTAAACAAAAACATTTTAAAGTGATGGTCCAACTTGCAATAAAATATAAAGCATGCAATGATTTAACTACCACTTTTTCATGGCTGTTTGTTTATAGTGAGTAAAGATGATAAATACCCCACCTGTCAGTTGGTCTGTGGAATATCTTATATAAATATGAATATATTATATATTGATGGCATAGTGCCTCATACTGTAATCAAGTTGTGTGCCTCATTTTATTAGCTCACCTGGTCCAAAGGACCAAGGTGAGCTTATGCCATACCGTGGCGTCCGTCCGTCCGTCGTCCGTCGTCCGTCGTCCGTCCGTCAACAGTTTCTTCTTCTTAACCACTGATTGGAATTTAACTAAATTTGACTGGAAGCATCCCTAGGTGGTGGGGAATCAAAATTGTACAAATGGTGGGGTTGACCCCCCAGGGGGCTGAGGGTCGGGGCAAAAAGGGGGCAATTTGGCTAAATTGCTTTAAGCGACTTCTTCTCTGGAACTAAGAGATGGATATCAACCATATTTGAATGGAAGCATCCCTAGGTGGGGGAGATTCAAAATTGTACAAATGGCTGGGCTGACCCCCCAGGGGGCTGAGGGGTGGGGTCAAAAACGGGTAATTTGGCTATATTTCTACAAACGACTTCTTCTGTAGAACTATGCACTGGATATCAATCATATTTAATCAAAAGCATTCATGGATTGCAGGGATTCAAAATTGTACAAATGGTGTGGCTGACCCCCCCAGGGGGCTGAGGGGCGGGTCAACAAGGGTTATTTGGCTATATTGCTTTAAGCGACTACTTCTCTGGAAGAAGCGATGGATATCAACCATATTGGACTGGAAGCATGCCTAGGTGGTGGGGATTCAGAATTTTACAAATGGTGGGGCTGACCCCCCAGGGGGCTGAGGGCGGGGCCAAAAGGGGGCAATTTGGCTAGATTGCTATAAACGACTTCTTCTGTAGAACTATGCCATGGATATCAATCATATTTAGTCGGAAGCATTCATGGGAGGCAGGGATTCAAAATTGTACGAATGGTGGGGCTGACCCCCGGGCTAAGGGGTGGGGCCAAAAACAGGTTTATTGCCTGGAAATGGTTGAGATACCCAACATATAACCACATATACAATTGCTTAGTATAGAGAGAAGAATGCACATTTGCTTCCAGGATGGCCCTAGGGTCTGGCCCCACCCTTGGAAACATAGTCCTTGGGCCATAACTTTAAAACGGCTGAGATCCCCACCCCAAAACTATATATACAAATGCTGGGCATAAAGAGACGAATGCAGTCACAATATAAGAATAGACCCTGGGGTCTGACCAAACCCCTAGGGACCTAGTTTCTTAGTCACAGCTTGGAAACAGTTGAGATCCCCACCCTATAACCATATAGACAATTGCCGATTACAAAGAGATGAATGCACATATGCTTCCAGGATGGCCTTGGGGACTGCCCCACCCTTGGAGACTTAACCCCTGGGTCATAACTTTGAAATGGTTAAGATCCCCACCCCAAAACTATATATACAATTGTTGGGCATAAAGAGACAAATGCAGTCATGATATTAGAATTGATCCTGGGGTCTGGCCACAACCATAGGGACCTAGTTTCTGAGTCACAGCTTGGAACCAGTTGAGATCCCCACTCCATAACCATACATAAAGTTGCTGGGCATGAAAAATCGAATACAGATATATATGCTACAAGGATTGGCCTTGGGGTCTGGCATATTCCCTTGGATCTCATTTGGAGAATATTCTGCCATGATTGCTTAGATATCCAGGTGAGCGATACAGGCCCTATGGGCCTCTTGTTTTATACAGAGTTATGGCCCTTTGTTTACTGTGATACCAAAGTTTATCCAGAAGAGGCACTGTTGATTGTTTATAATACTTCACCTTGTTTTGTTTGAAATTTTAAGATTATCCTACGTGGAATGAAGAATGCCATTTCTAACTCTAGTCCAGCTGGTTAACTATTTAAAAGTGAAAATTATTGGTATTATAAGTATGAGATACTAAAAATTCCTTTTCCATCCAGGTATGGTAGAGAGAGGAGAGTTCCGCTACCTCGTCAGCTGTCCCTTAGATCACGAAGCAATCTTACTTGATTGTCCTTACAAAAACAACTTCCACAACTCCGAGATTACCTGGCAAGATGTCAACCATTCCCTTGTACAGGTACGTTATAGGGTAGGACAAAAGGCCCTATATGTTTTATTGATAGTCCCTAACACTACTATAGCGGTAGGTAACCTCCCCTCTCAGTCATGTAGGACATCTTTGTGGGTTGGAACACGTCGTGTAACACACAGGAAGGTATTGCCCAAGACACGCTTTCAATGATTACTACAAGAAATTATCTTCACATACTAATTCATTGTACTAAGAGACAGCATGGTTGCATTGTGATGTTATGTTTCATAGCTGTTATTCAAAAACAAACATCACTAATGACATGTTTCACGTTAACTTCTGTCTCGGTCAGATTACAAAGTTTTCCTGACATGATGTTTGTCTGTAGGACAAGTGTAAGGTAGAAGACGATGCCATCCTCATCAACAGTATTCTCAGTGACAAAGTGGTGGTGAGTTCCAAGTCCATCGTCTCTGACTGTCATCTAGGTGGACGTATGGATGTGGGCCGGGGCTGCCTCATAACTGGTCTGTCTGTGGAAACCCAGCTCAAGGTTAGTGTGTGTTAAAATACACTTACTGATATTAAGTGAAAATATTGAGAAAAAATAGTTATGGGGTATTAACTCGGTTTTCTGATTGTTTTTCTTAATATGTCATATTTACAGATTTTTTTTCCTCCAAAATAAGGATATTTGAATTTGCCTTTAATTCTACTCACATAATGTCAACTTTGTATGTAAATTCTATGTATAGATTGACAGTTCAGGGTTATTATGTGTTTGGATGCAGGCATGCTTGCGGTCACCTTGTATTTGATGACATGCTATGATTTGTCCTGTACATGTAACTGAAATCTGTCTCTCTGATGACAGACTAACTTGAAGAAGACTGTAAAGATAGGAGACTACACAGTGGTGCAGTGTTTTAGGATCTACCTGAGTACACTGGGGAAAACTGTACATGTCCTTACCACTCACGGCAAGTTTGACAGGGTCGAGGTAGGTACTGCTCTGGTGTTCTTCTTAAACTAAATGTTGTAATATATACATATATATTGAAATCTCCTGAAGTGCCCAAAGATGGCCGAAAATACTAGCAAGATTTAGTCTACTGTGTTTTGTTATATCTATATTTCTATGATCACATGAACATTTTACAATTTTTACCACTGTATATATTTTATAGAAACAGAAGTAGAATGATCTTACTTACGAAGAAATAATTCAAAAATAAAAAATCTTAACAATACGTATTAAGTACTTTCATCTCTTCAAGGTCCTATGTATGTATATATATAATGTGTTACCAGGCCCCGATGTACAAGAGTACAACGACCTTCTGTAATAACCCCTGGGTGGTTTTCCTCAACCTGACGGGCATCATCAAGGAGGATCTGTGGGGACCAGATATGGTGAGTAGTGTCATGTGTCATCTAAGCACAGGTGTGTCATCTCATTACAGGTGTGTCAGTTCGTTACAAGTGTGTCAATTCGTTACAGGTGTGTCATCTCATAACAGGTGTGTCATTTCATTACAGGTGTGTCATTTCATAACAGGTGTGTCATCTCATAACAGGTGTGTCATCTCGTTACAGGTGTGTCATCTCATTACAGGTGTGTCAGTTCATTACAGGTGTGTCATTTCATTACAGGTGTGTCGTCTCATTACAGGTGTTTCATCTCATTACAGGTGTGTCATTTCATTACAGGTGTGTCATTTCATTACAGGTGTGTCATTTCAGCACAGGTGTGTCATTTCGTTAAAGGTGTGTCATTTCATTAAAGATGTGTCATTTCAGCACAGGTGTGTCATTTCTGCACAGGTGTGTCAGTTTGTTACATGTGTTTCAGTTCATTACAGGTATGTCAGTTCATTACAGGTGTGTCGTCTCATTACAGGTGTGTCAGTTCATTACAGGTGTGTCAGTTCGTTACAGGTGTGTCAGTTTGTTACATGTGTGTCAGTTCGTTACAGGTGTGTCGTCTCATTACAGGTGTGTCATCTCATTACAGGTGTGTCATTTCATAACAGGTGTGTCATCTCATTACAGGTGTGTGGTCTCATTACAGGTGTGTCAGTTCATTACAGGTGTGTCGTCTCATTACAGGTGTGTCGTCTCGTTACAGGTGTGTCATCTCGTTACAGGTGTGTCATCTCGTTACAGTTGTGTCATCTCATTACAGGTGTGTCAGTTCATTACAGGTGTGTCATCTCGTTACAGGTGTGTCATCTCATTACAGGTGTGTCGTCTCATTACAGGTGTGTCAGTTCATTACAGGTGTGTCAGTTTGTTACATGTGTGTCAGTTCGTTACAGGTGGGTCATTTCTGCACAGGGTTGTCATATCATCTCAAAGTGTGCCATCTCAAGCTAGGTGCACAAAATAAAAAACATAAATCTAAAAGAAGAAAAAAAACATTCCTCCCGGACAGGTGAGTGATTGAGATTGTGGAGTTTATCAGAACATACATCACAGACAGGTGGGTGATTGAGATTATGTAGTTTATCAGAACATATATCACGGACAGGTGAGTGATTGAGATTGTGTAGTTTATCAGAACATACATCACAGATAGGTGAGTGATTGAGATAGTGTAATTTATCAGAACATACATCACAGATAGGTGAGTGATTGAGATTGTGTAGTTTATAAGAACATACATCACAGACAGGTGAGTGATTGAGATTGTGTAGTTTATCAGAACATACATCACTGACAGGTGAGGGATTGAGATAGTGTAGTTTATCAGAACATATATCACAGATAGTTGAGTGATTGAGATTGTGTAGTTTATCAGAACATACATCACAGATAGGTGAGTGATTGAGATTGTGTAGTTTATCAGAACATATATCACAGACAGGTGAGTGATTGAGATTGTGTAGTTTATCAGAACATACATCACAGACAGGTGAGTGATTGAGATTGTGTAGTTTATCAGAACATACATCACAGACAGGTGAGTGATTGAGATTGTGTAGTTTATCAGAACATACATCACAGACAGGTGAGTGATTGAGATTGTGTAGTTTATCAGAACATACATCACAGACAGGTGAGTGATTGAGATTGTGTAGTTTATCAGAACATACATCACAGACAGGTGAGTGATTGAGATTGTGTAGTTTATCAGAACATACATCACAGACAGGTGAGTGATTGAGATAGTGTAGTTTATCAGAACATACATCACTGACAGGTGAGTGATTGAGATTGTGTAGTTTATCAGAACATATATCACAGACAGGTGAGTGATTGAGATTGTGTAGTTTATCAGAACATACATCACAGACAGGTGAGTGATTGAGATTGTGTAGTTTATCAGAACATACATCACAGACAGGTGAGTGATTGAGATTGTGTAGTTTATCAGAACATACATCACAGACAGGTGAGTGATTGAGATTGTGTAGTTTATCAGAACATACATCACAGACAGGTGAGTGATTGAGATTGTGTAGTTTATCAGAACATATATCACGGACAGGTGAGCGATTGAGATTGTGTAGTTTATCAGAACATACATCACAGATAGGTGAGTGATCGAGATTGTGTAATTTATCAGAACATATATCACGGACAGGTGAGTGATTGAGATAGTGTAGTTTATCAGAACATACATCACTGACAGGTGAGTGATTGTTTAGTTAAGTTTATCAGAACATATATGACGGACAGGTGAGTGATTGAGATAGTGTAGTTTATCAGAACATACATCACTGACAGGTGAGTGATTGTTTAGTTTAGTTTATCAGAACATATATCACGGACAGGTGAGTGATTGAGATAGTGTAGTTTATCGGAACATACATCACTGACAGGTGAGTGATTGTTTAGTTTAGTTTATCAGAACATATATCACGGACAGGGGAGTGATTGAGATAGTGTAGTTTATCAGAACATACATCACTGACAGGTGAGTGATTGTTTAGTTTAGTTTATCAGAACATATATCACGGACAGGTAAGTGATTGAGATAGTGAAGTTTATCAGAACATATAATGTTGTATATTCATACAGGTGTACATGACTTTGTTAACATTGATGAGTTGATCTGATGATTGTCAGGTTGAAAATGTCCGCATAAGTAAAAAAGAAATATAGAGTATTTTTTATATTCAGGATAATGACAACCAGAATGTACTAAATGCCAGGTTGTTCCCAGTGTTCCACTCGTCAGAGGAACTCAGTCTCGAGGATATCTCATGGCTGCACGGGGAGTTGGAAGATAACGACCAGTCCATTGTACGCAGGTGTGTATGACATCCCTTCATGTCTGTTTTTATCAGGACTCTAATACCAGCTTAATGTCATCCATCCGGCATCATTAGTACAGCTCTAGGTTTCAGTATAGGTCCCAACATTAGGTTTATTCTGTCTTATATTCTTATGTACCACACAGAAAATAGACAAGTAAGTGGTTCCTGTTTACTGACAGGAACATTTTCTTTCAAATAATGATTTGTTAACACAAAGACAGTAATCAGAAATTTTCATGTTTTTTCTGAAAATGTTTGCATTGATTTTGGCTATATACAGACAACATTGAGTCTTTCTTTGGTAGAAATATGTGATTGTGATAATTTAAAACATTTTTACTTTTGTAGATGGCGGTCATCCTGGAGGCTGTCACTCAATGATATCCTATCGTGTGTCAATATGGAGGAGGAGCTCCGCTGGAAAAAGTAATTTGTGGCATTGATTCTGATGTTCTTAACTAAAGAATATGATATGTGACTTTGAGGTAGTGTCTGGTGACTGTAACACTGTGTGGGTGGACTGATGTGTCTGGGGACTGTAACACTGTGTGGGTGGACTGATGAGTCTGGGGACTGTAACACTGTGTGGGTGGACTGATGAGTCTGGTGACTGTATCACTGTGTGGGTGGACTGATGTGTCTGATGACTGTAACACTGTGTGGGTGGACTGATGTGTCTGGTGACTGTAACACTGTGTGGGTGGACTGATATGTCTGGTGACTGTAACACTGTGTGGGTGGACTGATGAGTCTGGTGACTGTAACACTGTGTGGGTGGACTGATGTGTCTGGTGACTGTAACACTGTGTGGGTGGACTGATGTGTCTGGTGACTGTAACACTGTGTGGGTGGACTGATGTGTCTGGTGACTGTAACACTGTGTGGGTGGACTGATGTGTCTGGTGACTGTAACACTGTGTGGGTGGACTGATGTGTCTGGTGACTGTAACACTGTGTGGGTGGACTGATGTGTCTGGTGACTGTAACACTGTGTGGGTGGACTGATGTGTCTGGTGACTGTAACACTGTGTGGGTGGACTGATGTGTCTGGTGACTGTAACACTGTGTGGGTGGACTGATGTGTCTGGTGACTGTAACACTGTGTGGGTGGACTGATGTGTCTGGTGACTGTAACACTGTGTGGGTGGACTGATGTGTCTGGTGACTGTAACACTGTGTGGGTGGACTGATGTGTCTGGTGACTGTAACACTGTGTGGGTGGACTGATGTGTCTGGTGACTGTAACACTGTGTGGGTGGACTGATGTGTCTGGTGACTGTAACACTGTGTGGGTGGACTGATGTGTCTGGTGACTGTAACACTGTGTGGGTGGACTGATGTGTCTGGTGACTGTAACACTGTGTGGGTGGACTGATGTGTCTGGTGACTGTAACACTGTGTGGGTGGACTGATGTGTCTGGTGACTGTAACACTGTATGGGTGGACTGATGTGTCTGGTGACTGTAACACTGTGTGGGTGGACTGATGTGTCTGGTGACTGTAACACTATGTTTGTTAGTTAATATGTTCTAGAATGTAATGTTATGTTGGTCAACTAATAATGTTAGTGTATTTTTCGTAGGACCTTATTTTACAATGTGAGTAAGAACCACATCCGATGTGACCTGCTTCAGAGCAGTCACCATGGTTTCCGTTCCATCTACAACAGTGCTCACATAGAAGGCTTCTCACAGGAGATTCTGTTAACACTGGACCAAGGTCAGAATCAATGTCCAAACTCTCGTTTTTAATTTCCATGTGAATTATTTTTCCTGGTTTTATAAATAAATGCATATTTTTTTTTATTGAATTAAGTAAACTGAAGTCCTGTTAATTGCTAATGTTTTTAAAAATCTGGAAAATAAGTATACTATATGCATGTATGATTCAGATACAAGAACAGATGGTATTATAATGCTGATGTAGATAGTGACAGTGATTGTAGGTTATCTCCCCTGTATGTTATGTGACATGTTTGCTGTAGTGGCTAAGGAGTGTCAGGGGTCCCCAGGCATTGCTGCACGTACCCTGGCCAATATAGCTGACGTACTAGGGTGTATGGCAGCGACAAAGGGAGGCCTGAGGAGTGGACCTGCTGCCAACAAGTCCTGGGCCAGGGCCTTCCACAAATTAGAGGTGAGCTTCCGGTAAATAATATACCTTTCTGGTGGTCATCAACAACTCGTGTCGACATGTAGTAATCTATGCCTCTAACATGTCGTTATCATTGTCCCTTATTTGTGGTAATCAATGTCTCTAACTTGTCGTTATCATTGTCCCTTATTTGTAGTAATCAATGCTTCTAACATGTCGTTATCATTGTCCCTTATTTGTGGTAATCAATGCCTCTAACTTGTCGTTATCATTGTCCCTTATTTGTAGTAATCAATGCCTCTAACATGTCGTTATCATTGTCCCTTATTTGTGTAATCAATGCCTCTAACTTGTCGTTATCATTGTCCCTTATTTGTAGTAATCCATGCCTCTAACATGTCGTTATCATTGTCCCTTATTTGTGTAATCAATGCCTCTAACTTGTCGTTATCATTGTCCCTTATTTGTAGTAATCAATGCCTCTAACATGTCGTTATCATTGTCCCTTATTTGTGGTAATCTATGTCTCTAACATGTCGTTATCATTGTCCCTTATTTGTGTAATCAATGCCTCTAACTTGTCGTTATCATTGTCCCTTATTTGTAGTAATCAATGCCTATAACATGTCGTTATCATTGTCCCTTATTTGTGGGAATCTATGCCTCTAACATGTCGTTATCATTGTCCCTTATTTGTGTAATCAATGCCTCTAACTTGTCGTTATCATTGTCCCTTATTTGTGGTAATCAATTTCTCTAACTTGTCGTTATCATTGTCCCTTATTTGTGGTAATCAATTTCTCTAACTTGTCGTTATCATTGTCCCTTATTTGTAGTAATCAATGCCTCTAACATGTCGTTATCATTGTCCCTTATTTGTGGTAATCTATGTCTCTAACTTGTTGTTATTATTGTCCCTTATTTGTGGTAATCTATGCCCCTACCTAGAAGTATATCAGTAACTGGTTCTTGCGCCCCATCTAGCTGTTGTCTTTATTTCCAGAAAGGTGACTTAGTGGGAGGAGTGGATGCCCTTGCTAAAATTCGTGAAAGTTGGTTGGGGCGTCCAGACTTGTTGACTCGGGCAGCCAGGCACTACGAAGGAGCAGCGTCTATCCTCATCCGACAGGCCGTCATGACAGCAAAGAAGGTACACCACGTTATGTAGTTTTTATCGGTATAACTCTAACCTTAGATGTAGTTTTTATTGGTATAACTCTAACCTTAGATGTAGTTTTCATCGGTATCTAACCTTAGATGTAGTTTTTATCGGTATAACTCTAACCTTAGACGTAGTTTTTATCTGTATCTAACCTTAGATGTAGTTTTTATCGGTATAGCTCTAACCTTAGACGTAGTTTTTATCGGTATAACTCTAACCTTAGTTGTAGTTTTTATCGGTATCTAACCTTAGATGTAGTTTTTATCGGTATAACTCTAACCTTAGACGTAGTTTTTATCGGTATAACTCTAACCTTAGTTGTAGTTTTTATCGGTATAACTCTAACCTTAGATGTAGTTTTTATCGGTATAACTCTAACCTTAGATGTAGTTTTTATTGGTATAACTCTAACCTTAGATGTAGTTTTCATCGGTATCTAACCTTAGATGTAGTTTTTATCGGTATAACTCTAACCTTAGATGTAGTTTGAAGGATAGTGTGGCACTATGTCTGTCTAGATATTTAAGTGGAAATATCTTTATTTGGACATTCAGTTTTCTGGAAGAATGTCTTTAGTAACAAATCTTTCAGGAAGTATAGCACACAACAACCAGTGCTGTCACCAGTCTGGGTTAACCCTTTTACCACTGTAGACCATAACGGACTCATCCAGATCAATGCATGGTAGAGTCTACTAAAGTTACATAGGGGTGAAAGGGTTAATGATAATTCACTGTAAAGCTGGTATGGCCTTCTATCCATTTTGTCTGTTCTTAATACCAGATTAGGTTTTAAATCAAAATTTGCTAAAGTCTAAGAAATTGGTGTAACTTTGTTTTTTCACTCCTCAGTGAAGAAATGTTCATGTTTGCAAGGCTAGTGAAATGGATATTCCATGAGTGTCAAATATTTGAATGTGCATATTATCATGCTAACTTAAAAACTTAGAACTATGCAAAAATTTCAACGTTGCAAGAAATCATTGTATTATAACATATTTGTACTCTTTACTTAAAATTGTTTCACATACATATATTTGCACTCTTAAATTTTTCTACTCATACACCATTCCTTTAAAGACCATGAAATCTAGTTTATGGATGTTTATAGAATTTGGTATCTTGTCTTATAGATTCGAAGCATTTATCACTAAACCAAGATGACTTTAAACTTGAAGAAGTTGGTATATAATCTGATCATATAACTTCTCCTTTCTTGTAGAACTTCAAGCTGGAGCTGTGTGAGGCACCAGATATTGGGAAATGGGTAACAGCCGAGTGTCCAGCCAGAATCGATGTGGCTGGGGGCTGGTCTGACACCCCACCCATTACTTACGAACATGGTGGGGCAGTTACCACTATAGCACTTAAAATCAACGGCAAGGTAAGGAAATGTTGTTACCAAAATAACAATTAAATTCAACAGCATGGTACAGGGGTGTAGTTTTCATTATATCACTTAAAATCAACAGCGTGGTACAGGGGTGTGGTTTTCCATTATATCACTTAAAATCAACAGCAAGGTAAGGGGGTGTGGTCATCAATACCTGGACTATTGATTACTTTGAACAAAGAAATAATATTGTTAGGAGAATGTTCAGATACAAACAGAGCACTAACAAACACTGTTGTCTATACAATTAAATGGATTATCTGGAAAACAAGAAATATAATAAAATATCAAAACAAGAGACAGACACCACTATCTACATTTAAAATGTTTAAACATGTATTATTAGAAAATTTAAAAGTATTTACAAAATCAAACTCAATAAGAGATACAAAATTACACATATACTAATTCAGAACTACAAATTATTGCAAGGTATATTAACTAGCACATAGACATATTGAAGCCTGATTTTTTATTTTGTTGTTTTTTGGTGGGGGGAGGGGGGGGGGTCGGAAAGGAAACTGTTTTTGGTTAAAAAATATTTTACCCTGACTATTATCAATGCATACTCTAGAACTATAACGCTAACATGGCACTTTAATTTGCTGAATTGGATGATGTTATACCATACGAAGCATTTCATATACTAATATTTACCATATAATAACGTTTGTGCGAAGTCTGTTTACCATCGTGACTCCAACCGGAAATCAGACACTGGATTATAATACAATAATAATTAGAATAGAGTACGGACAAGAATATCCGGAAGTTTATTTTTTTATATGAAAATGTGAATCTTTACCTATTTGTTAATATATATGTAAGACGAATACTGATACTTGATAGAATATTTTGAACAGTATGTACATTATTTAAAGGCGATTATTGACGCCCATGTACATTGTATGTATATTTATATATATGTGTATGTCATAAAATTTTGAAAATATAATAAAAAAAAATATAAAGCCCCAAATCAACGACTTTTTTAGGAAATGTGGTCACCAATTAGCACTGAAGATCTGCAACTGAATAAGGGAATGGTCATCGGTACAACTTTCAAAATCAACAATAACATAAGGGGGTGTCACCAACAATAACATAAGGGGGTGTCACCAACAATAACATAAGGGGGTGTCACCAACAATAACATAAGGGGGTGTCACCAACAATAAAGCTCTTCAGATTTATCATAAATTTATCAGAAACTGTGACTAGCTAGAGCTGATGACTACAGTATCATGTAAGTGGTCTGGCACATCGTCCCGGAGCAGGTCTTGACCAACAGCTTTGGAATACCTAAAAGGGTTCTTCTTATACACCCATCATACCTTGTGCTTAGTTAAAGGACTTGAAAGGACTTAAAAGACTTGATTCTGACTATCAGTAATAGTTTCATCAATGGAATTCTATACGAAAAGTTCATTGCTGTTATCATAATCATTCAAATTCAATTTAACAATAAAACCTTCAGACTAAACAGGTTCCATTTCTTACAGAAACCAGTGGGGTCTAAAGCAAGGAGGATACGAGAGTAAGTATTTTGATGTTTGCGAGTGTGTATACATTTTGACCTGGTTAGTTAACATTTTGATAAAAGATAAAAATATGTGGTCTTTCATTAGGTAACGAATACAGGTTTTAGTAACTTTTTGACAAGTTTGCTTCAACATAAATATAAATTAATTTTGTATCCCTCCCTGACAGACCCAAAATTGTAATGGTGTTATATGGATTCAACCAAGAGGACACACATGTAGTTTGTGAAGAGTTGTCTCACCTTGAGAATTACTACCAACCTCATAGTCCAGGTATGTATCAGTATAGTTTACCCCTTCTCAGGTATGAATCATATTTTTGTGCGTCCGTCGAATGACGAGACGTATTATGTTTTCACGCCGGCGGGCGGGCCGGCGGGTGGACGGGCAGGCACACATTAGTTTCCACTCAATAACTTCAGTAATTTTTTATGGATTCATTTCAAACTTGGTAGGAAGGTTTATTGCCATGAAAGCTCGGAAAAATTTGATAACCAAAATTATTCGCAGGTTATTTACGGAGTTATGGCCCTTTGTAGAATTGCCGAAACAGTTTCTGCTTAATAACTTGAGTAATTTTGAATGGATTCATTTCAAACTTCATAGGAAGGTTCATTTATATGAAAGCTTGCTCAAATTTGATAACCATTATCCGCCTCTTATTAAGGGAGTTATGGCCCTTTATAGAATTGACGTGACACTTTCAGCTCAATAACTTGAGAAATTTTGAATGGATTCATTTCAAACTTCAGCCATAATTTACGGTCTTAAGGCCTTTTGTAGAATTGTTGAAACACAATTTCTGCGCAATAACTTTATGCACTTATGACCCTTTGTGGCAAACTCCTCATTCAACATCTAACAGGCGTATCACGTACCGCTTCGCGGAACACTTGTTGAGTTATATTTACGAAAAAAATAAGTTATAATAGTTATAATAGTCGCCGTCATTACACTGCCTGAAACACAGTCCCCTAATACACTCAAAGTTATTATAATAGTCGCCGTCATTACACTGCCTGAAACACAGTCCCTAATACACTCAAAGTTATAATAGTCGCCGTCATTACACTGCCTGAAACACAGTCCCCTAATACACTCAAAGTTATTATAATAGTCGCATCTCGGAAACCGTTCCATAAAATCATGTATGCATAGAGTTCATAAGGGCATTTACTGTCTGTATAGGAATTTTACGGCATTCCTCGACTTATGTGTTTATTTTTACAAATCTTTGTAGTAATTGTTATTTCTTGCTGTCCAGGTGCCCTGCTGAAGGCAGCCATTGTTTGTGCTGACGTTATTAACATTGACTCTGACTTGACGCTGAAGGAACAGCTGCTACAAAACTACGGGGGTGGATTTGAAATTCACAGTTGGTCCAACCTTCCACAGGGTTCAGGTAGGTCTGTTTGTCGAAAATCAGTACTCGTTCCTAGCCACTCTTTCATGAAATGTTGGCAAAAGCTCAATGATAAGTTTTTTAAACATTTTTCACTGAACAGTTATATCACAATTTCACTACATGACCTAGCTGCACAAGGTATCTCTTCAACCTTTGGTCTGTGTTTAAACTTTTAAAACATTCACAAGGATCAGGCCTAAAACGAGGTACCTCGTCAACCCTCTGTCTGTGTTTAAACTTTTAAAACATTCTCAAGGATCAGGCCTAAAACGAGGTACCTCTTCAACCCTCGGTCTGTGTTTAAACTTTTAAACCCTCGGTCTGTGTTTACACTTTTAAACCCTCTGTCCGTATTTACACTTTTAAACCCTCGGTCTGTGTTTAAACTTTTAAAACATTCTCAAGGATCAGGCTGTTTACATCCACCATTAAATAGACTTCAGTGTCGACCGGATAACGGTGTGCAAAATCAGGATTCAAATTACTGTATCAGTTTGATTTGGGGTCATGAACCACATTTCAAGTTTCAGAGGTTGGTTACTATAGGTAACATCTCACAAGATATCGGTAAAAGACGGTCAGTCTCAGTACTTATGTGTCAGACAGGTGCAAGGATTTGGGAACATTTTATTGTTATAGTTTGTGAAATGAGCTCAATCGATGAGAACTCTGTTCTGACTGTTTTCAGGTATGGGGACCAGCAGTATCCTGGCAGGGGCTGTCATGGCCGCTTTGCTGAGGGCTTCTGGGAAGTCATGTGACAGGAAAGGATTGATACATGCAGTAGGTACCTTTCTGGGACTTTTTATACAGGCTGTGGATATCCTTCTAAAGCTTCAGTTATTTTTAAAATGATCTATAATGTTTTCAAATTATTGTTGTGATTTTTGAGATATAAAAGTGTCAAAGTTGTTTTTCAATCAATTAATAATATATATTTTATCTTAACACCTTCATACGTGGAGTACTGTCATTTCTTCAAATTGCATAAGTATTTTATCTACTTACCTGTAAATGTTGTGATGTCTCAAGACATACCTGTAGATCTGGTTATGTATATTGATCTGTTTCCTTACCTGTAGGTGTTGTACCTTGAGCAGCTGTTAACGACAGGTGGGGGTTGGCAGGACCAAGTAGGGGGCATTATGGGAGGTATCCGTATTGGGCTGTCTGATGCCAAGCTTCCTCTCAGTGTAGATGCTATCGACCTAAAACCTTCGGAGGATGTTATCAAGGCCATTAGTGAGCGTATCATCCTCATCTACACAGGCAAGACCCGCCTCGCCAGGAATGTACTCCAGGTCTGACTTTTATCGTATTCAACAAGGTCTGCCAACAATAACACATCTGGTCATTTCAGTCTGCTGTCTGTCACAATCGCTGTCTGTCACAATCGCTGTCTGTCACAATCACTGTCTCGCTGTCTGTCAAAATTGCTGTCTGTCACAATCGCTGTCAACTTTTGATCATTTAATGTCATTTATAATTAAATGAAGTTATTTTAAAACATTTTTAAAGGCTTAACTCTCAAGCAGCATATGTAACGAAAATGTTAATTTGATTAATTGTAGAAATGATATTGGTATTTTTAAACATCACTTAATTTATATATATATTTCTATTGTGCAGCCTCCAAATAAACCTGCCAACTCTCGAAGTGTTACAAAAGTATAAAACTCTGGAAGTGTTACAAAAGTATAAAACTCTGGAAGTGTTACAAAAGTATAAAACTCTCGAAGTGTTACAAAAGTAAAAAACTCTCAAAGTTTAAAACAAACAAGAAGTACATGTGAATGTTTTCCATTTACTAAGAAGTTGTGAAGTTATTTCTGTAACAGAGATAATGTAATTGGAAACAAATCATGTTGTGATGTTGAATTCAATTTTGACATAAATTCTCATATCGATTTTGATTGACATATATCTTCACAGAAAATGGTAATCATTGAAATAGTACTTTATTCTAGAAAAAAATGTCTGTCCAACTATTTGTTCAATTGATTCTTTTAAAAATGCATACCACCCTCAGAAACAAAAATAGAAAATGTACTCTTTTTGTTTTGTTTTGCCCTTACATTAATTAGACAGTGCATCATAGGATATGCTAAAACAGGGCTGTGTTGCATAAAATACCATCATAAATGTATCCCTACACAATGTAAATACTGTTGTGTTGTGTACACAGGAGGTGGTGAGAAACTGGTATGCCAGGAACCCACAGATCGTAGAGACTGAGGATAGCCTCGTCAGACTCGCCCAGGAGTGTGCTCACGCTTTCATTGACGGTAAGTGTTGTGATTGAAATCCTGAATACCATCATGTGAAAATATATATGTTGTATTGTGTAGATCTGATGAGCTCAATAACTGACCTGTTTTTGTCTAGCCCCGACTGACTTTGAGAAGGTTGGAGACTGCCTCTATATTGTGTATCGTGTATTACCTCAATAACTGACCTGTTTTTGTCTAGCCCCGACTGACTTTGAGAAGGTTGGAGACTGCCTGAAGAGGTACTGGGAACTGAAGAAGGTAATGGCCCCAGGCTGTGAAACGGAGGTGGTTGCCTCCCTTATGAGTGTTCTTCAACCTCATGTGCATGGTATGTGTATGGCTGGGGCTGGAGGGGGTGGATTCATGTATGCCATCGCCAAGGACAATGTGCAAAGGGACGTAATCAAGGAAGTCCTAAAAAACGCAAAGGTAAGTAGATCTATTATCATTTATTTAAATCAAATATGTTTTTTATTTGTTGAAAAAGAAAAATTTGCAACATTTGATGTAGTATTAATTCCCAGTGCGACTTTTTATAATGTGGGAGAAATTAAAGTAACTTTTACAAAAATATTTCATTACTGCTAGAGGACAAATATCCAAATCTAACCATGACTGATTAAAGTTAAGATGAGACGTCAGTTAGGTTTAAATGTCAAGCTCAAAAAAGTGCTTTCTGTTATATTTGCTGTGTTTCTCATTGTTTAGATCTTCCAACAGGAGGAGGTAAATTGAATGCTTTTTGTAAAGTTTATTGATGTGTGTTAGAAAGCATTCTTGTATATGAAATTCCATGCATGCTATATATAACTGAAGTGATGAAGATGTTAGTATCTATAAACCCTGTAGTTACACCATTGGTTAAAACATTAACATCGAGAAAACCCTGCTATTATGTTCTATTATTACCGTTTTAAAGCAATGATGGATTTCAATATGTCATATTAATGTTTCGCGTACCAACCTAGTATTAATTTTCACGTACCAACCTAACTTCGTAGTTGTCTAAGTAACCTAGAATTATCAGGCCTTTGAGTCAATAGGTCATGTTAATATTTCACGTACCAACCTAACTTCGTAGTTGTTTAAGTAACCTAGGGTTATCAGGCCTTTGAGTCAATAGGTAATATTAATATTTCACGTACCAACCTAACTTCGTAGTTGTCTAAGTAACCTAGAATTATCAGGCCTTTGAGTCAATAGGTCATATTAATGTTTCACGTACCAACCTAACTTCGTAGTTGTCTAAGTAACCTAGAATTATCAGGCCTTTGAGTCAATAGGTCATATTAATGTTTCACGTACCAACCTAACTTCGTAGTTGTTTAAGTAACCTAGGGTTATCAGGCCTTTGAGTCAATAGGTCATATTAATGTTTCGCGTACCAACCTAACTTCGTAGTTGTTTAAGTAACCTAGGGTTATCAGGCCTTTGAGTCAATAGGTCATGTTAATGTTTCACGTACCAACCTAACTTCGTAGTTGTCTAAGTAACCTAGGGTTATCAGGCCTTTGAGTCAATAGGTTATATTAATGTTTCACGTACCAACCTAAATTCGTAGTTGTCTAAGTAACCTAGGGTTATCAGGCCTTTGAGTCAATAGGTCGTATTAATGTTTTGCGTACCAACCTAGGATTAATGTTTCACGTACCAACCTAATTTCGTAGTTGTTTAAGTAACCTAGGGTTATCAGGCCTTTGAGGCAACAAGTCATATTAATGTTTCACGTACCAACCTAACTTCATAGTTGTTTAAGTAACCTAGGGTTATCAGGCCTGTGAGTCAATAGGTCATATTAATGTTTCACATACCAACCTAACTTCGTAGTTGTCTAAGGAACCTAGGGTTATCAGGCCTTTGAGTCCATAGGTCATATTAATGTTTCACGTACCAACCTTACTTTGTAGTTGTCTAAGTAACCTAGGGTTATCAGGGCTTTGAGTCAATAGGTCGTATTAATGTTTTGCGTACCAACCTAGGATTAATGTTTCACGTACCAACCTAATTTCGTAGTTGTTTAAGTAACCTAGGGTTATCAGGCCTGTGAGTCAATAGGTCATATTAATGTTTCATGTACCAACCTAACTTCGTAGTTGTCTAAGGAACCTAGGGTTATCAGGCCTTTGAGTCCATAGGTCATATTAATGTTTCACGTACCAACCTAACTTCATAGTTGTTTAAGTAACCTAGGGTTATAAGGCCTTTGAGTCAATAGGTCATATTAATATTTCACGTACCAACCTTACTTCGTAGTTGTCTAAGTAAACTAGGGTTATCAGGCCTTTGAGTCAATAGGTTATATTAATGTTTCACGTACCAAACTAAATTCGTAGTTGTCTAAGTAACCTAGGGTGATCAGCCCTTTAAGTCAACAAGTCAAATTAATGTTTCACGTACCAACCTTACTTCGTAGTTGTCTAAGTAACCTAGGCTTATCAGGCCTTTGAGTCCATAGGTCATATTAATGTTTCACGTACCAACCTAAATTCGTAGTTGTCTAAGTAACCTAGGGTTATCAGGCCTTTGAGTCATGTGTGAATGTTTTGAGCAATTGTGACAATGGAGTCATTATTTTCGTTTCCCCAGATGACCTTTCCCTCCATACCCCAGTAACACCATTAGTCCCCATAATGTTTTGTGAACTTATATAGGTGGTGAGAGTAAAATTAAGTGGCTTTACAAAGATTTGAAAAGATTGTAAATTTATAAATAACATATTTAAATATCATAATGACTAATTAAAACTCGGGGGAAGATCAGGCTTTGGTTTAAATTTCAAGCTCTTTTTGTTTTTTTTATATTTTTATGGTTTAAATTGTCAAGCTTACAAAAAGATTATTTTTGTATTTATTGTGTTTCTCACTATTAACATTGTTCAGCAGGATGCAATGACTTGCATGGTTTTTGAAAAGTTGATGAATGTTTGTATCGTTTAGAAATTCCATTCATGCTGTATTATTACATTAGTGGAATGTTGTGTTCAGTAGGATAGGATCAGTGCATGTAAGAGGATTGGAAACATGATTTACTAACTGGCATGAATGATTCAGGTTTGTTCATTAGTTTACCAGGAATGTGTGTGGTACCAGCTTGTTCATTACCCTGGATATATGAAGGATACAGTTTTGTCTATTGTCTATTTCCAGCATTGAAGTTAGGTGGAAGGGTGTGGGGTGGCTATACTGGAATCAGTTTGTCCGTCAGTTCATCCATGGAAAAAAGTTTGTCTGGACATCTACACTTAACTAATAAGTAGATTTCAAAAAACATGCAGTTGTACAGCTGATATTTATCTTTTCTATATTTCAATTTCAACAAAACTTTATATACATGTGATTGGTACACCATGTTGTTGCACACCTGACACTTTTCCCAGTGTTGTTGCCCTTGTTGTACCAATTACAATAAACTGTCTGGAAATGATACAAAGGAGATATACTTTAAATCAAACGACCAACTTTTAATTTTCCAGATTTAAGATGGCCGCTCAAGCTTCAAATTAGCTGAGACAATAATGGACATATCTTGAGTTTTATGGGGCCATATTTATTGATACTTGGTGGGAGTGATACATAGGGGATAGATTTTTTGTAAAAAGGTTGACTTAAATTTCGGGATTCAAGATGGCCACTCTGGCACCTCTAACTGGCTTATACATGATACACTTCAGTGGTGAAGTGGTGGGGTATTAGTATTCAGGTTGCTAAGGTTCCTGGTTTATACCTGTCCAGTGTAGTTTATACCTGTCCAGTGTAGTTTAAACTTGTCCAGTGTAGTTAATATCTGTCCAGTGTAGTTTATACCTGTCCAGTGTAGGTTATACCTGTCCAGCGTAGTTTATACCCATGCAGTGTAGTTTATACCAGTGCAGTGTAGGTTATATCCGTGCAGTGTAGTTTATACCTGTCCAGTGTAGTTTATACCCATGCAGTGTAGTTTATACCAATGCAGTGTAGGTTATATCCGTGCAGTGTAGTTTATACCCGTGCAGTGTAGGTTATACCCGTGCAGTGTAGGTTATATCCGTGCAGTGTACTTTATACCCATGCAGTGTAGTTTATACCCGTGCAGTGTAGTTAATACCTGTCCAGTGTAGGTTATACCTGTCCAGTGTAGTTTATACCCATGCAGTGTAGTTTATACCTGTGCAGTGTAGTTTATACCTGTCCTGTGTAGTTTATACCTGTCCAGTATAGTTTATACCTGTCCAGTATAGTTTATACCTGTCCAGTGTAGTTTATACCTGTGCAGTGTAGTTTATACCAGTCTAGTGTAGGTTATACCTGTCCAGTGTTGTTCATACCTGTCCAGTGTAGGTTATACCCATGCAGTGTAGTTTATACCTGTCCAGTGTAGGTTATACCCGTCCAGTGTAGTTTATACCTGTCCAGTGTAGTTTATACCCGTACAGTGTAGTTTATACCCTTGCAGTGTAGGTTATACCCGTGTAGTGTAGGTTATACCCGTGCAGTGTAGTTTATACCTGTGCAGTGTAGTTTATACCTGTGCAGTGTAGTTTATACCTGTCCTGTGTAGTGTAGTTTATACCTGTCCAGTGTAGTTTATACCTGTCCAGTGAAGTTTATATCTGTCCAGTGTAGTTTATACCAGTGTAGTTTATACCTTACCTGTCCAGTGAAGTTTATATCTGTCCAGTGTAGTTTATACCTGTCCAATGTAGTTTATACCCCTGCAGTGTAGTTTATACCTGTCCAGTGTAGTTTATATCTGTCCTGTGTAGTTTATACCTGTCCAGTGTAGTTTATACCTGTCCAGTGTAGTTTATACCCGTCCAGTGTAGTTTATACCCCTGCAGTGTAGTTTATACCTGTCCAGTGTAGTTTATACCCATACAGTGTAGTTTATATCTGTCCAGTGTAGTTTATACCCGTCCAGTGTAGTTTATACCCCTGCAGTGTAGTTTATACCTGTCCAGTGTAGTTTATACCCATACAGTGTAGTTTATACCTGTCCAGTGTAGTTTATACCCGTCCATTGTAGTTTATACCCGTACAGTGTAGTTTATACCCGTCCAGTGTAGGTTATACCCGTCCAGTGTAGTTTATACCCGTCCAGTGTAGTTTATACCCGTACAGTGTAGTTTATACCTGTCCAGTGTAGTTTATACCTGTCCAGTATAGGTTATACCTGTCCAGTGAAGTTTATACCCGTCCAGTATAGTTTATACCTGTCCAGTGTAGTTTATACCCATCCAGTGTAGTTTATACCTGTCCAGTGTAGTTTATACCCGTCCAGTGTAGTTTATACCCGTACAGTGTAGTTTATACCCGTCCAGTGTAGGTTATACCCGTCCAGTGTAGTTTATACCCGTCCAGTGTAGTTTATACCTGTCCAGTGTAGTTATACCTGTGCAGTGTAGTTTTTACCCGTACAGTGTAGTTTATACCTGTCCAGTGTAGTTTATACCCATCCAGTGTAGTTTATACCTGTCCAGTGTAATTTATACCCGTCCAGTGTAGTTTATACCTGTCCAGTGTAGGTGATACCTGTCATGTGTAGGTTATACCTCTACAGTGTAGTTTATACCTGTAATATCTGTCCAGTGTAGTTTATATCCATCCAGTGTAGTTTATACCTGCCCAGTGTAGTTTATACCCGTCCAGTGTAGTTTATACCTGTCCAGTGTAGTTTATACCTGTCTAGTGTAGTTTATACCCGTCCAGTGTAGTTTATACCTGTACAGTGTACTTTATACCTGTCCATTG